TACCTGCACTGTGTATGCGTCTGTGCATAAGTGTGTGTGTGTGTTGCACTTGGGGCGCAGGTTACCTGCACTGTGTATGGTTCGTGCATAGGTGTGTGTGTGTCTGCAGTAGTGTGGCCAGGTACGCGTGCACTGTGTATGCGTCTGGCCATGAGTGTGTGAATGTGTCTCTGCCAACTGTGATGTGCAGAATGGTAAGTACGGTGCAGCAGCCTATGAGTCGTGCGTGGGCGCGCATGCGCGTCTGTGCATAAGTGTGTGTGTGTGTCTGCACGTGTGTGCAGGTACCTGCACTGTGTATGCGTCTGTGCATGAGTGTGTGTGTGTCTGCACAACGTGTGTGCAGGTACGTGCACTGTGTATGCGTCTGTGCATGAGTGTATGTGTCTACACAACGTGTGTGCAGGTACGTGCACTGTGTGTGCGTCTGTGCATGAGTGCCTGCCTGTGTGTGTAATGTGTGTGCTTGCCTCTATATGTGCATGCCTCTGCACACATGAACTGCGTGTATGTGCACTGTGCGTGCGTCTGTGCATGAGTGCCTGTGTGTGAGCTGTATGTGTATATGTGTGCCTGCCCGTACATATGCACATGCGTGCACACGTGAACTGCATGTGTATGTGCATGTGTATGCGTGCGATCCATCCAGGTGAGTGGGCCGCACTCCTCGAGAGGTGGCGATTACCGTGGTGCCCCCGTGTCCTGTGTTCCTAGAGTGGCTCGTGGGTGTGAGTGCTAGTCCCCAGCTCACTGTGACATTTGAGGGTTTATCACTGAGCTTATGAAATATCGTTGGAAATGATCATTCGGGTGATAAATCAAAATTATGTACTTTGTGTTAAAAGAAGGAAATGATTGAGTTAGTTGTATGTCTTTGCGTGCATGGCCGCAGCCGTGCCTGCATGTGTGTTCTGTGTGCTGAGCCTGTGACCTCTCCCCCAGGGTGTGATCCTGGTCTATGACATTGCAAACCGCTGGTCTTTCGACGGCATTGATCGGTGGATTAAGGAGATCGATGAGGTACGTCGTAGAAACGCCATTGCCCAGGATCCCTGTGGGCTTGGGAGGATGTCAGGCCAGGAATTAGGGCCGGGCCCTCCAGGCCTCATGGGTACACATGGATCATGGGCCAGGACACTGGATGGGGTTCCAGCAGCAAGGAGGGTGCCTCACCTCGGCACAGCACTGGATGGGGCTGGGCTCATGAGTGTAGCTACAGAGAGTCACCAAAGCTCAGGAAGCTGGTCCAGGCAAAACGAGCCTCCACGGCGTGCCTCGGCACGAGGTCAGGCCCCACAGTTTGGCCTGCTTCACTCCCTGCTGTGGTCGGGCTGGGTTGACCAGCAGTGACCGGGGCTTGTGACCGGGGCTTGTGCCTGCTGGCACGCAGACCAGCCCACCTGGCAGCGGCGACATGGCGTGGTCAGCGCCAAGCCCACTGTGTGTCCTGGGGCTGCCGTAAGTAACGACCACAAGCCGGGGTCCCAAACGACAGAAATGCGTTCGCTCACGGTTCTGGAGGCCAGAGCCCCAAACCAAGGTGTCGGGAGGGCTGCTTCCCTACAGCCGCCGCTCCGAGCTCTCGGCAGTGCCAGCAACCCTGGGCCCCCCCGGCTTGTGGCTGCACTGCTCCAGTCTCTGCCTTTGCATCACACGGCCTCCTCCGAGTGTCCGTGTCTTCTCTTCTTCCAAGGACACCAGTCATTAGATGAGGGCCCTAATCCAGTGGGGCCGCGCCGTAACTACTTACGTCTGCAAAGACTGTCTTTCCAAACGCGGTCCCACGCTGAGGTTCTGGGTGGACATGAACTTGTGGGGGGTTCCTCAGCCCAGAGCACCCACTTTGCAACGACAACAAAATCTCACCCAAGTAACCCATGCTCCTCGCCTTCCTCCTGCCCGCTAGCATGCCCCCGGAGTCCCTAAGATCCTGGTGGGGAACCGCCTGCACCTGGCGTTCAAGCGCCAGGTCCCCACGGAGCAGGCCCAGGCCTACGCCGAACGCCTGGGCGTGACCTTCTTTGAGGTCAGCCCTCTGTGCAATTTCAACATCACGGAGTCGTTCACGGAGCTGGCCAGGATCGTGCTGCTGCGGCATGGGATGGACCGGCTCTGGCGGCCAAGCAAGGGTAGGCCCCGGGGCTATTCTGGGGGCCCCCTCTGCCCTCCAGACACCGAGGTGGTTCGGTGGCCGCCCCCTGGATAAGTGTCTGCCTCCCGGGACCCGCCTCAGGGCCACCGTGTCTGTTCTCAGAGCAAGACATTTGAGAGAAGTAATCACTACGGCTTTGTCGGAAAGCTCGTGAGGGAGCTCTGGGATCTGTACGTGGGCAGAGGGGATGTGGTGGCAGGGCTTGCTGCATGTACAAGCCAGGGCCATGGGTGTCCGAGCCTCGGGAAGGCAGGAGAACAGGTGTGGGCACCACCCCCATGGCCAGCCCAGGCGGGGACATCCACTAAGCAGGGTTTACCTTTTTCTCTCCCAAGTGCTGAGCCTGCAAGACCTGTGCTGCCGGGCGGTCGTGTCCTGCACGCCGGTGCACCTGGTGGACAAGCTCCCGCTCCCCATTGCCTTAAGAAGCCACCTCAAGTCCTTCTCGATGGCCAATGGCCTCAATGCCAGGATGATGCACGGCCGTTCCTACTCCCTCACCACCAGCTCCACCCACAAAAGGAGCAGCCTCCGCAAAGTGAAGCTTGTCCGTCCACCCCAGAGCCCACCCAAAAACTGCACCAGAAACAGCTGCAAAATTTCTTAAGGCAGGCACTAAAAGAACCACGGTGGAATCTCTCCCGGAGAAACTCGGTGTTACCCCTGGCAGCTGGCGGATGCATCTCAGATTCCGGTTTCTCTCGGCAAACGCTGCTTGCGAATGTGTGCGATGCCTTCCGTGTGATGGAAACACACTACACTGTCGGACTTCGAATTTCTATGTGGATGTGCATGAAGCTCTTGTTTTCGATGTGTGTTTATAAAGGGAAAATTAGTACTCTGCTCAACTCTTGGTAACATGAAATTCTGAATGTTACTTTATCATGATTGCACTGCAACTTTTTCCTTAAAATAACTGCTTTTGTAAGAATGGTGATATTGGAGTGATTAGCATAAATTGAAGGGAATTTGAGAAGCAACGGTAGTGGGATGATTTAGAGTCATCGATATCACGAGAGGGGTCTTTTTGTAAACCTCCTTTTTAATGTCAAAGCACCAATTTATAAAACGTTGCAGATGTAGAGGTTATGTGCAACGGATCTGTCCAGTTTGTGTATGAAATGGATTTGATAAAGTTTTTGCTAGTTATTTACTACATTTTGGGATTAATAAGTGATTTATATGCATATTTTTCTGTAAATCTACATTTTTTTGTACAAGATATTCTACAAGTTACGAAGCTAAGGGAAGAAAATGCCAAAGATACCTCTAGTTACGTTGAACGACGCAGTTTCAACAGGCCAAGGAAGACCTGCTTCAGTAAAAGGAATGAAGTGAAAACACTTATTTAAGAAAATGTTTCTCAACAATAAAATGTATAGTCGTTTCTCTCTTGGTAGAGTTGGTGGCCGGTTCTTTAGAATTTTGTATTTATTTATTTATTTATTTATTTATTTTCGAGACAGAGTTTCGCTCTTGTTGCCCAGGCTGGAGTGCAATGGCATGATCTCGGCTCACCGCAACCTCTGCCTCCCAGGTTCAAGTGATTCTCCTGCCTCAGACTCCTGAGCAGCTGGGATTACAGGGGTGTGCTACCACGCCCGGCTAATTTTTGTATTTTTAGTAGAGATGAGGTTTCACCATGTTGGTCAGGCTGGTCTTGAACTCCTGACCTCAGGTGATCCACCCGCCTCAGCCTCCCACAGTGCTGGGATTACAGGCGTGAGCCACCGCGTCCGGCCAGATTCTGTGTTATTTATTACAGCCCTTTACTTCACTGCGCCACTGCCTGGTATAGACGTCACATATCGGAGCTAAGAAACGACACTGGCAACAAGGCTGAATCCTTGAACTGTTGTCGCCTGTTGAGAAAGGATTCCTTTTCCAGAACAGAAGTGCAGAGGAGAGAGGGAAGAGTTCAAAGCTGGCACCCAGGTGTGTGCCTGTCTGATAAACCGGAGCCGTGCTCCTGAGCCTTGGTGAGGAGCGCCCAGGGGCTGTCAGGGATTCCCCACGGAGATGCAGCCCCTATCTCCGACTGCATGCCTCAGAGCAGGGCAGAGACCTCCAGGGCCGGCCTCTTCCCTGGTCACGCTGTTGGACATTTGTCAGTGGCTGGGAGTTGCAAATGAGGGATTAAACCAAAAAAATGAAGCGAGAAAATGCCTGATGTTCCTAGTTCCTGCTGCTGGTCTGTAGATTCTGAGAAACTTACGGGACTCGGACGGGCGTGGTGGCGACAGCTGTAATCCCGGCACTCTAGGAGGCCAAGGCGGCCGGATCAGAGGTCAGGAGCTCAAGACCAGCCAACGTGATAAAATCCCGTCTCCAATAAAATTACAAAAATTGGCTTGGCATGGTGGCGCACGCCTGTAATCCCAACTACTCAGGAGGCTGAGGCAAGAGAATCACTTGAACCTAGGAGGCAGGGGTTGCAGTGAGCTGAGATCGCACCACTGCGCCCCAGTCTGGGTGACAAGCGATGCTCCGTCTCAGAAAAAAAAAAAAAAAAGCAATGTAAAGGACCCTAGAATCAGCGGCAACGCCTCTATTCAGAGATGGTGGAACTGAGGCCCAGAGAGAAGAGAGCAGCACTGGTCCCTGCGGGAGGAGCCGGGCTTGGAGGTGTCTGGCCAACTGGGTACGGCAGCTACGGGGACAAAGTCTGTGGGGAGGCAGGGTCGTGGTCTGTGGACAGAAGGTGAACCCTGAGGGGACAGTGCCTGGGGCGGGGAGGTGGCCAGCCTCGTGCAGACACACTGCGAGGACCTCTTCATCCTTCTCTCTGCTGTGCCACAGGTGGGGGTGAGGCCGGCCTCCCAGCTGCAAACACAAGGACACTGAGATGCAAGGAAAGGAGAACCCACACTGAAGAAACTCATGTTGCAGGGGCCTCTTCCCCCTCAGTTCCCGGCTCGGTGATGGTGGAGGGTAAGAAGACGGATCCTCCCGCTGCAACATCAAACCAGGCCAAACGCGTCTTTGTCTCTTCCTTCCCTTTTCTTGTTTTGTGATTGACAGCTCCTCAGGAGTAACCGTAGTGTCCTAGAAGGAATAAAATAAAGTTTCCCAAGGCTTTGTGACCCAGAGCCCTTCGCAGGTGTTCACGGAACACACAGGCCACCAGAGGCCTTGGCCCTCCAGGCAAACACCCCCAGAAGTCCTAGAAGCGGCACAGGCAGAAGGAGCCTCCCTGAGGTCTCCCAGAGGGAGCACAGCCCTGCCAAAGTATTGGTTTCGGGCAGAAGGAGCCTCCCCGAGGTCTCCCAGAGGGAGCACAGCCCTGCTCTGGCTTCCAGAGCTACGAGAAAATAAACACTTGTTATTTAAGCCACCAGGTTTGTGGCGATTTGTTATGACAGCCTCAGGAAACTCCTGCAACAAGGAAGTGAGTTACGCTCACGGCAGAAAGTGCTACAGCAAACCAAGGCAGAACAAAACCAGACGAAGCCTGATACAGACTAGACTAAGTAGAAGACTCTGTGTTCGGGTGGTGAATATACAAAAAACATAAATAAAAATTAAACCTTAGAGAAGCTTTGTCATGTTCTCCCGCAGCCCTCACTGCTGGCGCGATCTGTCCACACGATCCGTCCGTGGTGTAAACACCAGTTCCAGATGCTGTCCCAGGTGCTTGTGACCCTCTTTCCAAACATCAAGATTCAAAATGTATTATCCACAATGATGACTCAGTTGCCCTGTGAAAATTACTCCAGTAGAGAAGGTTCGTAGCTTGCAATTTTGATGAGGAATTTAGCCAAAATATTGAATCTAGAAAAAGTCAACGACAGGCTTGATGATATTTGTTTTGACAGAGACAGAGACGCTAGGTCTGCCCTTTGCTGGAGAACAGCTTTGTCAGATGTGGATTTTACAAGCAAAATGGAAGCTGCTTGTATTAGGGGGAGGTGAAGGTTTTGTTTCACCTGGGGGAGGCTGGAGGTCGGGAGTCGTCACTGTCCCGGGGGCGGGACACACTTCTGTCCCGGCCTGGAGGGTGGGGCAGTGCGTGGACGTGGGGGCTGGAGGGAGCAGGAGATTCCTAGTCCGTGTACGCCGCCGTAACAAAACACCTGAGACTGGGGAATGTATAAATAATAGACATTTGTGTCTCAGTTCTGAGGCTGGGAAGTGCAAGCTCAAGGCGCCAGCTGGTTTGGGTCTCGGGAGGCCCAGTCTCCGCTTCCAAGATGGTGCCCTGTGGCTGCGTCCTCACATGGCCGGAGGGGCGGAAGGACAAAGGGAAGGGAGGCAGCTCTGCCACACCTCCTGTGAGGTCCTGAATCCCGTTCTGGAGGTTCTGCCACTGCCTAAAGGCCCTGGCTCTTAATACCTTCACACTGGCAATTAAGTTCCAACACATGAATTCTGGAGGGGCTCGTTCAGACCTCAGCAGAGTCCTGTGCTCTTCTGTCTACTCCCTCCCATGTGTGCCTCGGGGACCTTCTCCCCGGCCCCCTGGGGCCCCAGCCTTTGCTCGGGGAGCCTTTCGTATATCGTCAGCTATTGAAGGGCATTGGCGAAACCTTGGATGAAACTGAGCAAAGTCTCCGCATAGGACCGTGGCAGCCACTGGGGGCCTGTAGGCAGGGGCTGGACAGCAGTGAGGGCTGATGACAGGGAGGCCCTAGGCAGCTCCACGCACGCAGGGGTGTACGCAAGCACTGGGTGCCGTATGCTCCTCCCCGCCCTGGCGAAGGTGGGGCACTCCCTGGGCAGAGGCTGAGCCATCTCCTATGTGAACCCTGCCCTCCACCCCCACCTGTCTCAGCTCAGGAGTGGGGCTTGCTCCCTTCCTGCTTCCATGGAATGTTCAGAGGTGTGGCCTGTTGCTTTAGATCTACAGATTCTTACACACCTTTCTTGTCTTAACAAAGGCTGGCACCTGCCTTTTAAAACCACTGTCCCGTCAGGGCGTGGTGGCTCATGCCTGTAATCCTAACACTTTGGGAGGCTGAGGCAGGCAGATTGCCTGAGCTTAGGAGTTCAAGACCAGCCTGGGCAACATGGCGAAACCCCGTCTCTACTAAAAACAGAAAAAATTAGTCAGGCGTGGTGGTGCATGTCTATAGTCCCAGCTACTCGGGAGGCTGAGGCATGAAAATTGTTTGGACCTGGGAGGTGGAGGTTGCACCACTGTACTCCAGCCCGAGTGACAGAATGAGACTCCATCTCAAATAAAAATAAAACCACCGTCCCTGCCCTGCAGCTGTGCTGAACTCGAGCTGATGCTGTTTCTTCTCTACTTTCCCATGATGGCAGCAAACCCTGCTGGAGCACAGAGGCCCTGAGCCGCTGTGGAGAGGGAGACGGACGCATAAAGGAGGGATTCCAAGCTCCAAGCAGTTCTGTTGCTCCAGCCTTCACCCTCCTCTAGGTGAGGTGACCGGCTGCTTCCCAGCAGCCCAGAGGTGCCGTCAAGGCTGTTAGCCAGAGGCCGCCATGAACGCCCCTGACTTGCTGCAGCACGGAGCCCCCCACCATCGACGGTGCTGGGGAGTCGGGGAGGACGGGCGCGACTTGGCAGCTTCATGGAGGTTTCGGGGAGCATTCACGGCAACTGCTGCACTCTGTTCGATGCTGTCAGGAAGCAGGGGTGACTCTGAGACTTACTATCTCAGTTCTTATCTAGAAGGTGAGAAAAACGGAGCAAGGTGCAAGGTGTCATTGGTAGAAAGTGGCAGTCACTCACATCCAGCAGGATGGGGAGTGTTGGTCGTCTGGGGGAGGTGGGCACTGCTCCTGCCTGTGTGCAGAGGGGACCCTGCTCTTGTCCTGTCCCCTCAGTCACAGGACAGCCTTGTCTGTGGGGCCGTCAAGTCCAACAGGAGCCTTCCAGTGCCTCGCTGTGCGTGCTCAGGGGCTGCCTCGATCTTTCTTGGTGCCTTTTGAGGTGACAGGAAGATAGCCGTGTAGGCCACGGTGAGAGGCAGGCATACCAGACTCAGTGCCTTTAACCGGGCAGACGCTGACCTTCCAGTTCAGCTGGAGGAAGACTCCATGTGTTACTCAAAGCCAATCACCACCCTCTGCTGGTTTCTTGATTCCTCTGCCTTGAATGTTTTTCTTTTTTTCTTTTAGAGACAGGGTTTCACTCTGTTGCTCAGGCTGGAGTGCAGCGGCGCAATCTTGGCTCACTGCAGCCTTGGTTCCTGGGCTCAGTGGTCCTCCCACCTCGCCCTCCAGAGTAGCTGACTGCAGGTGTGCACCACCACACCTGCCTTTTTTTTTCAGCGACAGGGTCTTCATAAGTTGCCCAGGCTGGTCTCGAACTCCTGGGCTCAAGTGATCCTCCCAAAGTGCTGGGATTACAGGCACGAGCCACCGTGCCCAGGCTGAAATCTTAGCATTGCTCCACGTTCCACTACACTTGGGGGTGAGGGTGATGGGCTTCTTAAAAGGCCCTCTAATGGTTCCATCTGTGAAATGGATCCTACATGTAACAGTTCACGTGGGTCCATCTGAATGAACAGTACTGTTATGACTATCAACGCACAGCAGCTGAAGCGGAAGGAATAGAGTCTTACCTGCCAAGCCCTTGGAGTGGGTTTTAAGGTCTGTTACTGTTGTTGTAATAAACTCCCACAGCCCGGGGGCCTGAAACAACAGAAGTGTGTTCCGTTCACTGTTCTGGAGTCCACGTCCAAAATCAGCATCACTGGGCTGAGATCAAGGTGTGGCTCCCTCTGGAGGCTCCAGGAGGGTCCTCTCGGCCTCTTCCAGCTTCAGGGGGCCCCAGGCACTCCTTGGCTTGTGGCCACATCACTGCAGTCTCCGTCTCTGTCCCCACATGGTGTTTTCTGTTGGTCAATCCTTCCTCTGCCTGAAGAAGCGTGCAATGGCACTTGGGGACGTCCAGACAATTCGGGACAGTCTTCCTGTCTCAGGGCCTCTCACTTTATCATATCTGCAGAGACCCTTTTTCCAAAATAAGGGAATACCTTCTTTTTTTTTTTTTTTTTTTTTTTTTTGAGACGGAGTCTCCTCTGTCTCGCCAGGCTGGAGTTGCAGGTGCCGGATCTCAGCTCACTGCAAAGCTCCGCCTCCCAGGTTCCCCGCCATTCTCCTTGCCCTCGCCTCCCGAGTAGCTGGGACTTACAGAGCCCGCCACCACTCCCCCGGCTAGTTTTCTTGTATTTTTTAGTAAAGCACGGGGGTTTCCCACTGTGTTAGCCAGGATGGTCTCGATCTCCTGACTCGTGTCCGCCGTCTCGGCCTCCGCATGGCTGGGATTAACGGCTTGGAGCCACCGCGCGCCCCGCCGGGGGAACACCCTTCTTTACGTATTTATAGTTAATTTTTTTTTTGAGATGGAGTGCCTCTCCTCGGCCGAGGCTGGAGTGGCAAATGGACCGATCCGTTGTGGCTCCAACTGCAACCTCTGCCTTCCCGAGGGTTCCAAGCCAATTCTCCTGGACTCCAGCGTTTCCCCAAAGTAGCCTGGGATTACAAGGGCATCCGTCCTGCCACCCACACCTGG